GCCCGATCTCGTCTCCAATCGCACACTGCTCAATGGCGGCCARTTCGTGGCGCTCACCGCCGCCGCCGGCGGCATGCACGGCAATGTGCCGACATCGTCCGGAGCGACAATGCTGCATCAGTATCCGTATATCGGGCACATGGGCCACTCGCAGCCATATCTGCCGCCGCACGGCACATTCGAGAACCTCAACATGATTGAGGAGCAGCCGTCCATAATGTCCCAGCTGCGCCAGTCGGCGATGAGTCAGGCCGCCGCTGCGGCCGCAGCTGTGCAGAGGTAAACAAATTGCCAATTAGCAGCAGGCATTAAAATAAACACTATAATATAAATAAATATACTGAATAACATTTGTCATTTGTCATTTGTCGCTTTGTAGTTCGCCCACTTTGCCGCCCAGTGGCTATCGCAGCTCGGCACCGCCGCCAGCCGCCAGCAGTCCTCAGCCGGTGGCCACGACGCCGACGCCGTTACAGCGCAGCGCGATGAACGGTTCCATTGAGCCCATCTATGAGAATGTGCCGCTGCCGCAGCGAGCCAGTGGCGGCAGCACCGGAGCCAGCAATGCCAATGCGGATGCCATGCGTCAACGCGCCTCCTCCATACAGTCAGCGCCGCCGGGCGCCGTGGCGCCAGTGCCCGCTGCACGGCATGCCAACACGAAATCCTCCAGCAGCAGCCACGGCAACAACAACAACAATAACGTGGTGACGGTGACGGTGAATGCCCAGCCGGACGATGAGATTACACGGAATATTAAGAAATATGCGGGCGCGGATCGTGCTGCGAGCACAGAGCTGCAGTTCCTGGAGCCACAGGCGCCACAGAGAGCAGCTCGGGCGGCCAGCGCAGCGCCCGCCATTGGAGCAACAGCACCGCCGCGTCAACATCGCTCGACGGCCAGCCTGAACAAGTCGACGGTGGACGTGATTTCGCCGACGGGCGACGGGCTGCTCCAGCAGCAATTTAGTGCCATGAATCTGTCTGCCAACACATCGGCGTCCACATCCTCGATGTTCAACTCGACGCTGGACACCACCGGCTCGTCGTCGGCCAGCAAGGATGTGAAGCGTCGCCGTCGCTGGAACATTCTGTCGCGCAGCAAAACGCCCGACAAACAGAAATCGGCAACATTGGGCCGCGAGAAGGCCAGCAGCTCGGCGGCGCAGCAGGCCAAGCTGGCAACGAAAATGAAATTGGCCCAGGACGATCTCAATCTCAATGCGCATCGTTGGTCGACAGGCGTCAGCAAGCCGCAGCCCATATCGGGGCAGTATTCAAAGGATAAATTGGTAAGTGAAATTGGGTTTCTCGATCTAATCAGTAACCTTCTTCTTTTTCTTTTGTTTTAGTGCCAGATCTTAAATGATAAACTGCAGGATTCGCAGCTCTATTTGGAGTTCGAACGCATACCGAAGAGACGCGAGCATGCGCAATATTCCTGCGCCTTGCTCGAGGAGAACGAACCGAAGAATCATGATCCCAATTTTCTGCCATACGATGATAATCGCGTGCGTCTAACGCCATCGAGAGATAATCGCCATGGCTACGTGAATGCCTCATATATATCGGTTAGTTTTCCATTTCCACTCAATCTCTGATTTTAACTCTAATTTGTGCTTCGATTGCTAGGCCACCGTTGGCACGAAGCAGCGTTTCTACATCGTCGCCCAATCACCCCAGGAGTCGCAAACGATGCGTATCTTCTGGCAATGCGTGTGGGAGGCGGATGTTTATTTGGTGGTGCAGTTGACGGAGGACATGAGCTACATACCGCTCAGCACGCAACAGTGCATGGAGTTTGGAAATGTAACTAACTAGCCAGCAAATAATATAGTCAAATAATACATATATTAATATATATATATATACGTATATGTGCAGTTTCAGGTCTTTCAGGAATTCTCACAAACTACGGACCGTTGCACCACCAGCAAGCTGAGTTTATATCATGTGCCGTCGCGTCGCTATCGTTCCGTGTGGCATCTGAAATACGCCGATTGGGCCGAACAGAATTGTCCACGTGATGTCAATCATTTTCTGGACTTTCTCGAGGAGCTCAATTCGGTGCGTTTGGCATCGACAAACGAGGTGCCGCCGGGACATAACACAAATCCACCCGTGCTCATACACTGTCTGGAGGGAGGCGGCCGTTCGGGCGTGACACTGACAGCCGATCTACTGCTCTATACACTGGATCACAATGAGGTGGGAGCTATAGCTATAATATATATACTGTATAGTAAATTAATGTCTGTTATGCTTTAGGACTTGGATATACCGCGCGTCATCGGCCAGCTGCGGCATCAGCGGGACAAAATCATACCATCGCTAGCGCAATACAAATTCATCTACAATCTGCTCATCACGTATTTGAAGCGCACTCGTTTAATTTAAGTGGCAGCGAAATTTCAGCGGCAACTAATTCCCAATACGGGGCTAACGTTAGCTCTAAATAGTATTTCAAATATTTAAGCCTTTTTAACCTATGAATAACGAGTGAACGAAGAACGAAGAGAAACGAACAACTTTTTGGCAACCACAAAGACTTGGTTTTCATATACACTTCATCCGTAATCCTAAGTAAAATGCGACTGTTCTTCCATTTGGGCAACTACTATATATATATATATACCACCCATACCCATTTACGATCATTTTGTCTATATGATTTGTGATGATCCGAAATTTGTATATTTAAGAGTTGAAGAATTTGTTAAACAACCAATTTAAGCGCTCCACCCGATACAAAACGAATTTTGTGTTAATCATAGTGCTTAGGTTTAAAGCCAAATTATTTATACACATTTTTTTAATTAACCAATTGATATGCATTACGCAACGCAAAGCAATAAAAAATTATACATTTTCAATTAAACAACAAAATTCAGCATTTCGTTTCACTAAATAAACACTATAAAAAATATAAAGAGAAATCGTTTTTGAGTTTAATTTCTGAAATACTGCATGTATTTTGTATTTTGTTTGTTTTCTTTTTCCAAAGTAATTTGCAATATATATAGGCATTATATATATCTGAAATACATACATATATATAATGCACATGCATATTGTAGCTTAAATGAATTACATAAAGTATTTAATTAAAATAATTTGTAAATATTTTATTTAACGGCCAAGCAGAATTAATATTACATTTTAGTTTTTTCTTTGCGCAAATATATTTTTATTGGATCTTTGCTTTTCTTTTTCTAAAGTTGGATAAAATCAAGTGAAAATATGTTTAAAAAATTTTAATAAAAAGTTTTAAAGGCAAGTTATATGAAATGTTAATGAAATTTAAGCAGAGTTCTTTAAAACAAAATATTAAATTTTTAAAGGCAAGATTTCTGTAAAGATAAAGGCATTTTAAGTAGTAAATAGAAGTGGTATAAAATCTAAACAAGAATTTCTTAATTTAAGAATGAAATTAATGAAATTTTGTTTGATTTTAGATTTTTTTAAAGAAAGTTTACGCTAGAGCTAAATAAGTTTTCTCTTATCTATCCAACTTTAGAAAAGAAAAATTCGATTATAAAGCGCATATGACCATTTCTTGAGATTTTTTCTTTACTTTAATTAAAAATTGAATTCGAGCGAAAAAAGCACAAACATATGCTTCGTTTTGACATTCAATTTACGAGTTAGCCATAAAAAGCATGAATTTTCATTATCTTAACTTAAACATTAAAAGAGCACAAGTATACATTAAACATTTAGCAAGTTTTTTAAATTTCATTTTGTTTGTTTTTTTTTTTTTCGTTTAGGCGAAACATAAATTGTTGGGCTAGACTTTGTTCAGGTTTGTATATGGGCAATGTATACATATATTTATATATAAATATATATGGAGATTTCTTGTATATAGTTGTATGTATATATTTATATAATGTATATCTATGTGTATAACAGACAATCGCATATATATATACATACACACATGGAAAAATATTGGAGTCCTTAACGTGTGAGAGAAATATGTTTACAAAAAATTCTTTTATATTATCATTATCAATAATATTATTATATTTGTTGATTCATTTTCAAGTCTCAGGTTTTAGTTTTCTTGTTCTTGTTTCTGGTTGGTTTCGATTTGCTTGTACTTTCATATATCTTGTCTTTTTTTTTTTTGTTTTTGTCTTTTCTTGTATTGTTCTTGGGATTCTTATTTTGTTTTTGTTTTTACATTTAACGTAAATTATATTAAATACCACGTTTGAAAAATATTCGAAAAAATCTATCGGCTTACAAACTAAATATTTGGAATCGGAGCGAAGGTTTTTTTTTTTCTTTCTTTTATCAGTATTTTGCATATGTATACGTAAGTGTATTTTAGATAAAACTATCTTGTATGTATATATATACATATAGATATATATGTATGAGCTAAGGTATACATAAATGGAATACAATAGATTGAGTCGGCCTCGTCCCTTTTTTTCATTAATATTATAATTATTGTTGTGCTGGGCAAAAAATTGTTAATATATATTTTTTTTAAATGCCGACTGAAAGTCTTCAAAAGAGATTTTGATTGCAAATTTTTTGTTTTTGTTTTTTGATTTAGTCTGCTGGATAGGTCTGCCTGCAGACGTTTTCTTTTGATGTATGCGAGAAGGCAACAGCTTTGTGGATCATTCCTGTTCGTTTTTTTTGTTTTTGTTTTTTTTTTTTTTTGAGGAAAATGTTTACAAAGAATTGTGCTAAATTAAAATTAATCGTAAGCCACTTAAAACATATAGAGCATAAACTAAACTTTAGGCGCTTAATCTAAGAATACGTGACAATGGGATATCGAACATTTAAAGGGTAGCAAAAAAGGGTTCATGATAATGGGTATGCGCACATGTAAATATGTTTTTGTGTGTGTGCGCGTCTGGTTTTTTTTTTTTTTTTGAGGCAGCGGCTCTTCCATGGTTGTGCCCCTCTTCTATGTATATGTGTATGTGCATATGATGTATGAATGTGTTTTTGTTGCTGGTGACATGGAAACCACAACCATTTAACAAATTTTGGCATATATATATATGCTGTAAAGGATAAGAGAAAACATAAGATTAGATTTTCATTATTCTTTCTCAATAGAATTTCGTACTCACAACTAATTAAATTAACATTTAGTAGTTAAAACAGCACAGTTTGATTTATTGATTCATTGGTGGCATGGGACATATGGTGCACTTGGTGCTATCCATAAAATTTGGCGGTCCACCTGCAGAGGAATAAGGAAAAATAATTAGTATATTCATTAATTAATATTCAATTATCAAAGTAAACAATATTTTTAAACATGATATACATATATTAATATATTAAATTTATGAAAAATGTTTTTTTTTTTTTTTTGTTTTGTTTAATTTTTTTAAATGATTTGTGTCAAATTAAATAGCAGATATTAAACTCCAAAAGATAGTGCGAGCCTATGCTTTAGCATAGCAGCTAACATTATTTTAGCAGAACGCAGGTTGAACTGCATGTTATTTGTTCGCTGTTAACTGAAAATCATAAATAATCAGTTGAATAAAATTATATATTTAATTGTAGAAGATGTACCTAATTCTTTTTTATTAAATAATATATTTATTTATTTATTTTTGTTTATAATTAAAATTTTTTAGTAGTATTTAACATAATCAAAACAACATAGCTTTAACAGCATGCTATTTACTCTCGGTTAACTTAACTCTTTTTAATGTTGAATACTTTAGATATAGTTTATCTTATCGTAAGAACTGAAATCACAACTATACCGTATGCTTATCGCACTGATAAATACAATATATTTATCACACGATTTCACCTACCTATCCGCTACAGATCTACCTCAATCTATCATGGCTAAGCACTTTACTAAATCATCTGCCCCTTTTGCTCTTACGCTGCACATGGTTGCTTTGGTTATCGTTTCCATAGGCCATAGGCTAGTTGCAGCTTACTTACCATGCATGTGGTTCAGGTGTCTGCTAGTCGCATTGCTATGATGATGATTGTACAGGCTGCTGGTGTAGACCGGCGGTGGTGGAGGTGGCATGGCCAATTGCTGTTGGATTTGCTGCAGCTGCTGGTGGCTGCGCATGTGTATATAAGGCGCTGGCGGTGCAGGAAGCTGTGGTGGCTGTATGGATGCTGTTGGTGGTTGCAGTTGGGGTAGCTGTTGTTGTTGTTGTTGTAGTGTTTGTGGTGCTAGTGGTGGTGGTGTGGGTGTGCTAGGTGGAGTGCTCGTGCTCTGACAGGGACTATTCAAATTCCGTGTAACGGCATTGTTGGAAATTTGCTGCAACAGGCGGCAATCGGCAGCCGTATAAACGGGCGGTGGCGGTTCATTGTGTTGTGTTTGTTGCTGCTGCTGTTGTTGTTGTTGTTGTTGTTGCTGCTGATGGTATGTCAGGTGGTGTTGTGGATGGTGCGGCGCCTGCGGCTGCTGTTGGGCGTAGGAGCCATGCCCACTATCACACGACGATACTGAACCTGTTGGGTGTTTGTTTGTGACAATAAAAATAGAGTAAAAGTAGCGTAAAGTGTGTCACAGCACACACACACAGGTGTATGTGAGTAGTGTATATGTGTGTGTGTTGTGTGTGTATATAAAGCAGTGTAAGAGACCAACAACCAAATGCCAAAGCAGCGATAACCAACCACCATATATAGTAGATACATCTATCTATATATA